TGATAGAGCTGAGGTTGGAAGGTGAAAAGGCTTTAACTAGGCAAAGGAGGAAGGAGATCTTTCAATGGAGAGGAGATAGATTGTGCAAAGACCTGTGCAGAGAGAGAGTATGGCACTCACAAGAAACCAAAAGACATGAATGGCTGGGACACAGTGATCCAGGTGGAAAGTGATGCAAAATGAAACTAGCCCAATGTTTCTTGAACTTGGCACTATTGACATTTTGCGTTTGATAATTCTTTTGTTGTGGGAGGCTGTCCCAACCATTACAGGATATTTAGCAGCGTTCCTGGCCTTTACCCCCTAGATGCCAGTAGCACCTACCTCCAAGTTGTGACAACCAAAAATGTCTCCAGACATGGCCAAATGTCCACTGGGGAGCAAAATCACATTTGGTTGAGAACCAATGGAGAGAGATAGGCAGGGGCCAGACTGTGTAGGCCCTGTTAAGGAGTTTTGCTTTATTCTGTAAGTGATGGGATGCCTTTCAGGAATATTAAAGTGGAGGAAACAAGACAATCAAAACTGCATTTCTTTGTTTTTAATAATTTTTTTAATGTTTATTTATCTTTGAGAGAGACAGAGCATGAGTGGGGGAGGGTAAGAGAGAGAGGGAGACACAGAATCTGAAATAGGCTCCAGGCTCTAAGCTGTCAGCACAGAGCCTGATGTGGGGCTTATACTTGTCAACCATAAGATCATGACTTGAGCCAAAATTGGAAGCCCAACCGAGCCACCTTGATCACCCCTCAAAACTGCACTTCTAAAAGATCTGTCAGCAGTGAGTAAAATGAGGGAAAAGAAACTCAGGCCAGAAGCAATGTCGATAGACCAATTAAGAGGCTAAACCAGTTTAGAAGCTCCTAGACTTTCCTGGTGAAAGCTAATTACAGCTTGGACTAGGATGGTGGGTGGTGGAGATGCAGAGAAGTGATGGATTGGAAAGATAGGAAGTCAAATCAACAGGAGTTGGTGATAGACTAAACATGTAGGGTGAGGCAGAAGGAGATGGCAGGAATGATTCATGCTAGAGGAAGTGACTGGGTGATGGTGCTGTTGACCAAAATGGGCAAGTTGGAGATGGCCCAGGTTTGTGGGAGAAACACAATTTTATCATATTAAATTTGAGGGGCCTTTGAGATGCCCAGGAACAGATGCCAAATAGGTCATTGGATATGTGGGTCTGGAGCTCTAGGAGGCCTGGATTACAGATACCAGGGAGCAAATGGTCTAGAGAAGGTAATCTCAGCAGTGAAAGTATACTGCCTCCCAAGGAAGGAGTATAGGAGGAAAAGATGAGGTCCTAAGACTGGGTCTTAAGTGTGACTCCTGTTTAATGACCCGATAGAGAAAAATACACCTCAAGTATCAGCAAAGGGATGGCTGGAAAGTTGGTGAGACCAAAGAGAAGGTGGGGTCTCAGGAGGCCAGGGAAATGAGTGAGTCAAGAAGCAGGGAGTGCACAATGTTTACAGCAGCGCTATCAACAATAGCCAAAATATGGAAAAGAGCCCACATGTCCATCGGCTTTGGAATGGATAAAGAAGCTGTGATGTGATGTGTGTGTGTGTGTGTGTGTGTGTGTGTGTGTGTGTGTATGTGTGTATATATATGATGGAGTATTACTCAGCAATCAAAAAGAATGAAATCTTGCCATTTGCAACAATGTGGATGGAACTGGAGCGTATTATGCTAAGTGAAATTAGAGAAAGACAAATATGACTTCACTCATATGTGGAATTTAAGATACAAACAGATGAACATAAGGGAAGGGAAGCAAAAATAATACAAAAACAGGGAAGGGGACAAAACATAAGAGACTCTTAAATATGGAGAACAAACAGGGCTGCTGGAGGGGTTGTGGGTGAGGGATGAGCTAAATGGGCAATGGGCATTAAGGAGGACACTTGTTGGGATGAACACTGAGTGTTATATGTAGGGGATGAATCACTGGATTCTACTCCTGAAATCATTATTCCGCTGTAAGCTAACTAACTGGGATGTAAATTAAAAATAATAATAATAGGGGCGCCTGGGTGGCTCAGTCGGTTAAGCATCTGACTTCAGCTCAGGTCATGATCTCGCGGTCCGTGGGTTCGAGCCCCATGTCAGGCTCTGTGCTGACAGCTCAGAGCCTGGAGCTTGCTTCGGATTCTGTGTCTCCCCTCTCTCTGACCCTTCCCAGCTCATGCTGTCTCTCTCTCAAAAATAAAAAACATGAAAGAAAGAAAGAAAGAAAGAAAGAAAGAAAGAAAGAAAGAAAGAAAGAAAGAAAGAAAAAGAAAGAAGCAGGAAGTGTAAAACTGTGTCACATGCTCCTGAGAGATTACATAAGATGGCTAAAGACAGTCTGCTGGATGTGGAGAAAAGGTCACTGTTGGTCTTAGTGAAAGTGGTTTGGTTTGATGGAGACAGGAGTCAGATGGAGATGGGTGAGGAGTAGGAGATGAGGAAATGGAGACAGTGAATGCAGATCACATCTTGGGAGGTTAGATTGTAGGGAGGAGGGGAGACAAAAGGTGGGACCTGGGGAGGGGCAAGGGGATATTTTGAAAATGAG